AATGGGAATTTGTCACTTTGGGGGGTGTTCATGATGTTGCCCACGAGATGATTTGAATGGTGGCGTGAAGAGGCAGCCAAAGCCTTACAGTTTGCAAACGAGAGAGACTCAAGATTGGCTTTGTCAATGTCATCGCTTTGGATGAATGGCAAAACTAAAGCAGCCGGAGAAGAATGGATGTATCCCGCGACAGTACATGTAAAAGAAAAAAAAAATGGGAAATTTCCTTTTTCCATTTTCGCGAGGGAAAATGACATGAATGGTCCCTAATCGTGATCTGATGTGTGTTGTCCTCCATGAACTTTTAATTTGCTCAATGTGGTCCGTGAATTTTGATCCGATGTGCGATGTCGCCCCCGAACTTTTAATTTGTTCAACGTAACTCCAGAATTTTGATTCAATGGTATTGTAGTCACTGAATTATTAAATATTTTCATATAGTGTAAGGATTGCATTAAACATTTACAAATAATTCAGGGATCATATTGAACAAATCAAAAGTTTAAGGACGATATTGCACGTCGGGTCAAAGTCCGGGGATCACATTGCACAAATAAAAAGTTCAAGGACAACTTTACACATTGGACCAAAGTTCAAGGGCCGTTTGTGTTACTATCCCTTTTTCTTGAATGAATAAATTGGAAATTCAACCCCATTCATGCGAATTAAGAAGATTGTGATTGGCTTTAGTAACATGGGCTTGTGTATACTTCTAGTAAAATGAAGGATATATAATAATTTTATCAATAAACTTATAGAACAAGGGTTACTATTGTCATTTTAATTAGGTTTCCATATAAAACAAAGGGGCAAGTACTATAAAAAATAGCTCTCAATCATTACCACAACGTTCTAATCTCCACATTGGAGTTGCTAAAGTTTCTAAGCACATAAAGCAGCCGAATGAAATCAAATCATTGAGGTTTCAAGAAAATCAATTGGTAAGTTATGCTCCACAAAAGATTCAATTCTTGTGGGATTGTCAAAGTCATTACACTTTACTTGGAAGCAAAGCCTCTGGGAGATTCTAATAAAGCAAAAGTTGGTGCAGCAAGAACTTATGCTTTTCACGGTAAAATTACCGAAAAAGTGTTAAACCTATTATAACAGTGCCAATTTAAAAATATTTTTTTTTTGCCAATTGAGTCATAAACCCTATGCATTTGTGTCAATTCAGTCAATCCGGCCAATTTTGCCCGGAAATTGCTGACATGGATACCGGTTGTTCTATGTGACGCGACCGACTCTGATTTAAAGAATTTTTAATAATATTTTTTTCCTTTTTTTCTCTTTCTTTCTCTTTCTTGTCTTCTTCCTCTGGCCGGGGAGGTCACTAGCGAGGGCAACTGGCGCGGCTCCACCTCACCAGGGGCAGGCGAGGCTCGCCCTCGTCGGCCCTTGCTTCTGGCCTCGGCGATCGGCCAAAGGAAGAAGGGAAGAAAAAAAAACGAAAGAGAAAGAAAAGAAAAGAAAAATCGAAAAATTATTATTAAAAATTATCCATGTCAACGTCAGTCACACCACGTAGGACGGCCGCTATCTATGTTAGCAATTTCCGGGCAAAAATTGCCCGATTGATTGAATTGACACAAATACAAAGGGTTTATAACTCAATTGGTCAAAAAAAAGTTTAAGATTGAATTGACATAATTGCAATAGGTTTAGTACTTTTTTGGTAATTTTTCCTACCTTTCACTTCGGCCTAAGGCGATAAATCTTATCATAATGTATCTCATTCCACCTTTTATGTATGAAAGTGATAGGGATTGTGACAATGGTAAGTGCTCAGTGGCAGCGCTAGGAATTTATTTTCACGTAAGTGTAAGTCGATTCCTATTCATCGAAATAACGTTATAATATGCTAGTGACATTATAATCACTTCTACTATAAGTGCTCTCGCTTCGTCGAAATCTATTTCTTCTCCTTTGGGAAGCCGAGGACGGAGGCTTTGCCGTCGCCGCAAGGATTGGCATCAATAGACGTCGATCGACCCGAGATTAGGATGCTGCCTCCGTGGCTTCAAATCCATAACTATGGTTATAGGTGAGTAATGGGTGCGGACCCACTTATTCTAATGTAAAAGCTTGTTCGTGAAGAGACTCCATACGAGTCCTATCGTGAAGACGTCGGACTCGTCACGGAACATTTAAATCAAAGACTAAGGTTTTATTTGTTTTGTGAAAAATGAATGATTTAAAAAATATTTTCTTGAAAATGATCGCTTACAAAAATGGATAAACAAAAAATATTTTCGTCGTCTACGAAATATTTAGATATAAATTGTTATTGGGAATGAAAACATTTTCTATTAACTAATTATTTCAAGCGATATAGAAAATCATCTTTAGGAAAAAATATTTCTCCAAATCATTCATGTTCGGCGACAATAAGATAGAAGCACAATCTCTAAAAGTGAATTCGGACAAGCGGCACCATGATTTCGAATATTGGCCCGTACCACCAGTCCACCTTTGCCGGTGGGTAAACGTATCAATTCTTGATTTGCTCTATATCTCATCGTTCACGAAAATATCCTCCAACCCTCGGATAGAATATAATCAATGGTTAAAAGACATTAGGCAAGATTAACTACTTGTAGGTTGAGATAAGATGATACCATCTATTTAACATCCCTAAAGGAATAAGCAACGTCGTTGCTCCTTTCAAGGCTAGAATATTCGCAAGAAGGGTAATTTTCTTGTGATCTAAATCTCTTTAACATCTCTAAAAAGCCGTCTTCATTACAAGAATCGAGCGCATGCACATTGAGCCTGTTAATATTGCTGAGTCCACTAGGTCGACCAGTTTTTAACGTACGAAACCGCCCAATTTGGCAGCTCATATAGATACCCACATAAGCGATCGACTCAATTCATGTAAGTTCTACGTTCGCGATCTTTCCATTTGCCATTTGCTTTGAACATACACGCGTTTCGACGCTTACTCGCGTTTAAAAGAAAATGTAATTAACAGGAAAATCTCTTCAAATTCCTGAAGTCATCCTGAACCTCAATGCCCATACCTGTTCTACTTTGTCTTTTAGCGCATATTCATACCAAATCCACATTGCGAAAAGCCCTAATTTTGGTTTGGGTTGGGCTAAATTTGGCAATGGAACAATGGGAATGCATTAAAGATTAGTTTAGCAAAGATGCATATGGATTACGAAGGCAAAGGTAGATGGAGCTATCAATAGGGAGGACCAATTCAAATACTTGTGGAGCGTGGTCATATTGATGTTTGAAAGCCATGCTCATTACTCTCGCTCTCGAAGTCTCCAGCTCCCCCATTGAGCTGGAACAGTTCCTTTCGTGGAGCTCGATTTGGGTTGGTAACTTGGGAGTTGAAGGCATTAAATGCTCTCGCTATTCACTATAACAAAGTGGGATGGCACTTCTCTCTCTATTTTCACATAAATTTATTTAGTTCGACCAGATCGATCACATTTCGAGAAACAAATTAGAAATTACCTCGAATACATGAGTTAGAGCAGATTGGTGAGCTATAATACAAATTTGAATATGCAAATTAATGTTAGAGACAACGGGACTGATTTATGAAATGACGTGATAGCCCTCTCGCGGGCCGAGGGTGCGGCGGGTTTTCCACCACCCACGGAGCAAGGAAGGGACGTGATCCACATTTCTGGGTCGCCCTGTGCCCATCTCTAGTGCCAAAAATTCATGAGCGTTTTGAGCGATTATTCCTTCGAATAGGCGGTTACAATTAAACTTACCAATATTTTAGCGCCCTAGCCTTATTTAAATCTAGAAACCTAAACTGATTTAAATCTAGAAATCTTGTATGAAGAGGGCATAAGAATAGGGGGATAATTACAAAAAAAAAGTCCCGAACCTATTGTGTGGATTCCAATTCGATCAAAACCTTTTCAATTTGGCAAATTGGCTCCGACCCTTTTAAGGATTAGCTAATATAGTCTTTCCGGTCAGTTTTGATCGAAATTCACCGACGTTGACGCCAGCCATCTTATGTGACACGACCGGCACTAACAATTTTATGTTCTCGTGAGTAGAAGGTAAAATTTGGTGCGCTAGACTAAATTCACCCGATTCATCCATCTGTTTCCATCAAATAGAGAATGTCCAGATCGAGACTCATCTTCTAAGTCGTTGAATCAACAATATTCAACATAAGTCGTTGCTTCTCCCGAGCTGTATCAGACTTTGTAAAAACAGTAGTTTAGGAGGGATTTTTCCTCCCCATTTCAGTAGATGACATGGAGTTGATCGGAGGGAAGTAGAATTAGAGCAGCGAGAGAGGGATGTGGGGACTCGCGGATGCCGGAAACAAGACCGGCGAGCATGTTTCCGGTTGCGATTCATCGACTTCGATTGTGCTCGATTCGTATAATAAAATGAAGCCATGTTGCGACCTGTGAAACGTGACGACTCGCGAAAAGGAGCATCAAGGAGTGCCATTGACCTTTCGAGCAACGCCTGTGATTCATCTTGAAGTCAGCTAGGCCGGCCGGCATCACGACTGGCGGCTTAGAGTGGACCTTGTACCTCGGCCAAGCGCGAGACGACCCTAAAATACGAGGCTGACACTTTGGCGACCTTCGCTGGTCCATGCATATGACAGAAACTTCTGATCTCCGAACTCAGTCGGCCAGGACAATATAAGCCTGCAGATAACCCGAGCATGGAGTCCGGTCTCCGCTCATTAGCTTTCCTGTAGAGTTTCACACGGTCGTCATCGCCGGTCACGTCCCAACCGTCACGACACGGTCCAAGGCCGAGGCATCGCCTTTGCCGTCGATCCCTTTTTCCGTTATCGAATTTTGGCAATAATTGCTGAACGCATCTGGTAAGAAATTTCTGAAGCATTCTGTCATCACCACTCCAAAATTCCAATCCCATGGCATCTGACCTAAACTCAGATCACCAAATGAAGTCCTTATATACAACCTCTCCTCGATCTATGCTCATCAACAATGAAAGAAACATGTTTGCTTATCAACGCGAAGAAAACACGACCATTGAATGGGGCAATTTGACCACTTTATATAACAACAAAATCTGTCATCGATTCTTCCATGACCCCATTTTCAAGCTAATGTTTCATTACTTGAAAATGGTAAACAAGAAACTGACAAAAAACCAAAAAAAAAATAAGACTACAACATATTCCTTTTCTTGATAGCTAGAACTGGCCGTGTCATCCGTTTCTTTCAACCCACAAGCAGTAACTCCACGAATCCTTCCACAGTATTTCACAAACCCAGAAACCAAAAGCAGAAGCAAGGAAAAATTTGTAGGAGAGAGATATTACAAAGCCAAAGAGACAAATGTATTACCAGGTTCCGTGGACGAATCAGAAAGTGAGCTTCCAGATCTTGATCCTGAGATCGACATTGCACTGGGAATCGCTCACCGTGGCCACCGATGGCGACTTACCTTCCGGGGGGACCACCCCTTTGAACCCTTCGCAGCTCACTCTAATGCCCACCTTCTTGCTCTTCAGCTTGCCTGCGCTCACCATCACCTTCGTGTCCATCTGAATCTTCACGGGGACTCCATTTTTCTTCTTCAGATCTGACCTCAGTGAGGTGACGGACTCGGCGTCGAGATCTTGGGAGCTCAGTGACACGATTGCCCGCAATGGGGTCACGCTCTTTTCGCTGCTCGTGAACGCCGGGAGCGACCCGTTTCCGAGGAACACCGAGTAGGACGAGGACGACGAGAGCGCGACGGCGAAGGAGTCGTAGGCGAAGGTGAAGTGGCTGTTCGGGTTCTTGGAGGTGAGGGTGAGGTTGAACAGGGTGATGAGGCGGGTGGTGGAGCCGTCGGCGGCGGCGGTCAGGTTGAGGGTGGCGGTCCTGAGGGAGGAGACGGAGAACTCGGGGCGGTGCGGGCGGTAGAGCACGTAGAGGGCGGCGCCGGCGATGGCCGCCAGGAGGCACAGCCCGAGCACGAGGAGGACCGTCCAGAAGCAGCAGCAGCAGACGCTGCACCGCCGGCGGTCGTAGTGGCGGCGGCGGCGGCTGTGGCCGGCGGGTTGCGGGCGGTAGGGGCGGTAGAGCTGGGGCTTCGCGGCCGCCGCCGGAGGATTGGCCGCGGCGGGGGCCGTGCCGCCGTTGGCGGCGGGCTTGCTAGCCGGGTAGACTCTGTCCGCCATGCTTTCGAATGTCTGAGGATGAATTCTGAGCTCCGGCGAGGCAATCTAGGAGAGAGAAAGAGAGAGACAGAGGTGGTGATCGTTTGGAGAGTAGTGAGAGAATGTAGATCAGAGAGTGAGAGGAGGAGGAGAAGAAGAAGAAGACGAACGTCACGAGAGAGAGAGAGGACTGAGCACCAACAACAACAGAGATGGATACACCTGAGCAGAAGCGGAGCTTCTTCCACAACACAGACTCTCTCTCTCTCTCTCTCTCTCTCTCTCTCTCTGTGAGTTCTGGTGGGTTGCTTGTGAAATCTGCCAGAAAAATTCTAACTTCAAGGACAGATTTCCTTCCTGAGAGCCACCCAAAAATGCGGTTCTTTGCTGCTGTTTGATGCTTCACATGTGATGACGAGGCGATGGTGAAGTGTCAGCACCCAATAACCAACAAAAATTAGCAAAATAAACAAATATAAAAAGTGGGTCCACTTCACTCAGTCCTTTATAGTTGTCTTCTTTTATTTTATCTTAAAATTTTCCCTAATTTCTCTCCTCTTCTCTTCTGGGGTTCTTGCAGATCAGTCAAGAAAACATGGGTTTGGATCGCTGGTGCGAGTCTTTCATGAGTTTTCGTGATGTGGGTTTCTTGCTTCTGTCATTCTTTTAATCCATTCTATCTTGACTTTCACCAAAATTTGACCCGCTGGATCTCATCATTAGGCTAAACAATCGAAGAAAAATCTCTTTTTTTCACCCTCTTAGGATATTGTTTAATCAGATCAGCTTATTGGGGGGCACGTCAACACCGGGGGGTATTGCTTCGATTTGCACCTCCCCGCATTAACTTCCTGTTGAAGTCAAAAAACTCAGGTTCATTGATTAATGTTGTTTTCTAGGTGGAGAAAAGCTTAATTTAACCTAATTGGAAGGGAACAGAAAACCAGAAAGACAATAATGAGAGGGACATCGGTGGATGGGAGAACCTTAAAAAGTCGCATGATGGATCTTATAATTGGACCACCGACAGAAAGAAGATGATCAGGAAATGGCACCCCAGTAGAAGAGCCACTCATAATAGGCCGGGGTGCTTTTTTCCAAGTACAAATCTATGTATCCTGTTCTAGACATGGGTTCCTACTTTGATTAGCCCACACCATGAAATGTGATCATGGTCTAGGACAACGAATAGACTGAGGAACATATGCTAACGTAATGGATTTGGCCACGCATTATTTGACTGCTAGTTCTGTTTGGGGAGTTCCCAAAGAAAAATCCTAAAATGAATGGGGTCAAGGTGCCTCTTTTGCATTACATAATGACAAATGTACATTCAGAAAATTCTTACAATTCGTTGCTAAGCGAAGCCATTTGTGCTAAGAGTCTTTACGGGCATTGATCTTGTCTATTATGGTAATTTCGAACACGGGGATGATGCAAGTGAGACCCGTGGGCAAAAATGATTTGCCCGCTAGACGCTCATCAACGTTATGCCACTTTGTGCAAGAAGATGGTTTAGCAGTAGTTATTAGTATCGTCGTTCGACCGATTTGTTTAAGTATCGCTATATGACGAGATTTTTTAACGGCTCTTCATCTGTTTCAGCATTGCTCCTGGATCTCACATTGACCCCCATCTCGAGCAGATATATAAAGTGGATTGGAACTGCAGTGATTCATTGTGCTGATGTTACTTTTCAATAAGTGAAATATGTACAGATCTCGAGTTAAACGGCAGAGAGGAAAATCCAACAACCTAAGAAGGAATTCCCCACAGAGACAAGCAAGATCATTAGTTGTGGTTTTCGAATGTTTATGTTATAATATGATGACATGGGCTTTGGAGCAGAAAAGAGAGAGACATCATACCTGGATATGAAATCTCTGTCCGTGAGCACATGCGCAAGCATGTGAGTTGCAGTTAAATGCATACAAGACATCTCTTGGTTTGTTCAAAGGACAAAGATGAGGGCATGTGAAGGAATGAGCATGTTGTCAAGAAAACAGAGGACCGAACCATGAAAATGGGGAAAGACAGGCTCGATACACATTCACACTCGAGACAGATGCATAATGCACGTCATGCGCCGAGAAAATAAGTAATTCGACGATTCACATTCGCATCGGGAGCCATCGAATCTCTATTAGGAGACCTTGCTTCAAAAGGTTTGAATTTCAACGAAAGAGGCAATTATGCTCATTCACTCACTCGTAGGAACGGGAAATGAATGTTGAGAGAAATTCCAAAGATCAGGTAGAATCGCTACATCAAATCACAGAAGGGCCATCGTCTTTCTTCACAAAGCTTTCAAAATGCACCAGTACAAGTGACTGGTTGTCAACAACCAACGGGAATCCAATTACCCCGAACAATTTAGCAAGGAAAAGTTTATATGAATCTGCTCGTATCTCACTGTACAATGTATATCTTCATAATGAACGTCTACACAGAGAAATTCTGAGACCATTGTTTCTCCGGTCCGTTCAAGCCAGAATATTTACGATGGCAACAGATAAATTTTGAATTTAGGAACAGAAAGAAAGCCACTGACAGTGTGATGAATGGGCATGTTTTTCATTCTTGCGGCCTTAGAAGTCCTTCAACTTGTGATGGAAGAAAGTGTCGCCGTAAAAGATTTTCTCAACCAAGCAGGATGCAGTAACTGCAGGATGCCTAGTATAAGAGTAAGCAACTAGCAAATAGTGCCTCAAAAGAAACTTCACACGCGCTCCTTAGTCACACTTACACTCAAAATTTGGCTCCATCACCCAAACATGCTTTCTAAAGCCTCTCTTTTAAGCTGCCCAACCTGTTATCAGACAAATTAGCATGTAAGTGCAAACATTATTGCTTAGGCACTCTCTCCAAGACAAAACAACTTGAATAAGCACGACATTCTTTTTTCGATTCGCTATATATTTTCATCCCATCTGCATGAATTCAGAGGGAACAGAAAGAGATGGATTGTGCAGCCAAATCATATGATAACGAACAAACTCTCCATTAAACAGTTGAGAAACGAAAATCATGGCAAGAATGAATGATAAGCAACTGAAAGCAAGATGTCATCTGCAGAACGAATGTGGAAAACCCATTTCAGTCCTTCATTTTCCTTGCAGAATCTAAATGAACTGTCGAGACAAATTACCGCGGTAAAAGCATGTAACGATATATCACAGAATTGGGAGGAGAAAAACTTTGATCATTCCTCTCAGAATATGAGTACCTTTGGAACCTCAAGGTTCTATTCAGGAGCATCATCGTAAGCAGAACAGGCAACATCGCTAAACATAAGTGCTCCAGGGAATGCCCGCTGATGATGTAACTATTAGCATAGTATATCCTCCGGTCAGCAAAAGCTTCAAATTTGGAGAGAAGGTAGATGCCTGCACCAGAAAACTCAGGATTCTGAAGCAGACCACTTTTAGCATGGCACTTTGAATGGTTCACTGTACATTTCCAGTGTGTGCATAAGAATAAAATTTTGCACATTGCATCCCCTATTGATGAACTAATAGATATAGGCAAAAGCAAACTGAAAAAAACAGGCAAGCTGAGATCAAACTGATAGCTTCAAAATACATATCGACCAGTGCAAAGACAAGGACACACTATAAATCCTTTCTGTGCTCCAACATAAATCAAGAAATACCAATCATAAGGAAGGAACATACAACTGATGAGAGTAAATTTACAATCGCTTATCCTTTGGAGAGATAAGGTGAATTTCAAATTTCTGATAACTTCAGTTGTAACTGCCACCTTTGCAATCTCTATTTTTAGAAATAAATGACGAGAGTTTGGAAAGGGGCGTGGCAAAGCAAAACCTAGTTTTGACAGTACATTAGTTTCACTTCAGACAGCAATATTCTATTGATTTGTGTGATATGCAATTGATAAAGCAACAATTAGAAACCGTGAGGCACTTGGCCGCACAAAATTAACTCCTCCGGAATCAAATTATGAGGTCAAATGATTTAGGTTTTCTTGCAATCATGCTTAATAAAGAAACTTGAGAGTCTAAAAGAACTCTTGCTGGTGCAATGATACCCAAATCCTGATCTCAAACGTATGAGGTTCACATGCTCCTTATCTTCTTGCAAATGATGTTCAACAAAGTACTCCAAAACACTCTTGAAACATGGTCTCATGATTCGAAATTGTAAAAAGTTTGGTACATGTGATGATTGCCAGCAGTCCACATCACACTGTTGAATCTCCTTAAAAGTAAGAGATAAGCAGATCAGTGAAACAGGCACAGAACCCAAAGCCTCTTTAATTCACAGCACAACAAACTAAGTATAAACACATTCTATGCTGCGGTCAACTTTCATTTGGTAACTTAGAGAGGAAAGTAAACTAGAAGGCTCTAAAATCCACGCTCAAATCAATTTTTTTTTTATCATTAAACTTTCCTTTCATCCAAATTTAGATTATAGTGACAAGCAAAAACATAGGACTTCAAATCTTGCTTTCTTTTTGCGCAAAAGTAAAAATTCTTGTTCTCCTAACTCTTTCATCGATGATGTCCTGTACAAATTTATGGCAATCCATGAGCATACTGTATTAACTACCGAGAAAGTTTTCCTCTTCAGGTGACTCATAAAATTTCTAGAAAGTGGGTATGAATAATCAAAGAAAAAATAGTCGACACTAAAGTGTAGCATTTATATGCAAGGATTAGCTTTGGGGTGAATCTCCCCCAAATATACTTTCTTTGGCACCCACTACCCTCTTTTTATGCAGAAGAAACACATATGCAACAGCAACAAGATTGTGTGGCCCGTGAAAAGTTACTCAGAGAGGACATGAAACAGAGACACAAACAGGAAATGTGCCATACCTGCTGCCCAAAGCCAATATCTCGAGTGAGTATATTTTGGTGGGAACAAAAGCGTCGTAAATGGGATCACAACACACGGAATCAACTGAAACATCATGCGCAACCGGAGATCATTAAATGTTCTGCAAGCAGCTCGACTTAGGCATAGTCCAACGTCCAATCACTCAAACAAGAGGTTCAGTCATCTAATGGCAGTGCTGAAATCCAGAAACCAGAGTCTAACCTTTCATAAGCTACGCTGAGAAAGGAAAAGGAAAGGAGCAGAGACAAAAAGCATAAACCAGTCCTTTTCCCCACTCTCTCCACCAAAAAACTGGAAAATAGAGAGGAATATGCTATCATCATCTGCAGTTGACAATGAACATCAAACTATGTCAAAAGGTGTGAATTAAACAGTTAGAATATTAAGGCAAAATGCCAATAAGCACAAGCAGTGTAAAGGAAGATATTGCATAGACATGTGTGCAATTCTCTATCCTAGGCTTCAATGTCGAGTATATTCATAGATTTCTGTTGCTGAATTTCTAAACTTCGGGTACAAGTTTGAGCTTCACAATACATTAATTTCACCGTCGCACATTAGAGTCAATTACTGTCCTTTTGCCATTGACATTAACCCGGTTCATGGCATGAGGGAGGGCATCCAAATAGAGCTAAACAAACCACCATGCAGAAGTGGGAGATATTTGATAATTCTAAATGATCCGACAACATTCAGCCAAAAGTAGATGCCTCAAATTGTCTAAATTGAACGTGTAACCTTGTGCTTAAAAAGGCCTTTCCCTTCATTCTTCGAACTTTTCCTCGGAGCAGTTACAGCTATATTAAGAGACAAACAGCAAAACCCGACAGTGTCAAGGTGAAACGTTGTGCTAACCGGCAATGTATCCCACACCACCCTACTGTCATCAGGCTTCAGGTGATAATATGCCGAACCAAAAGCCACACCCGCTATTCCCGCGTAGAACAATGTCCAACCCAAAATTTCTCCTTGCAAACTGCGATCACCCAATTTCCCAAATGGCATCAAGCATCAACATAAAGGACGAAAACTAACGTAACAAACATGGGGAATAAGTCTTAGCCGTAGGTAGACTTGATCTTGAACTCCCACTAATGGGATAAACTCAACTGATTCCAACATCTGAAATCTGATTGCCTAAGTCCATTACACTAACGAAGAACATTGGCACTGAAAAGGTCGAGAAAGGTGACCAATATAATCATTTACCTCACGTTAAAATAGCTCCCTTGAAGACACAGAACAAAGCCCAGCACGCCCACAATCAAGAAAGGGAAATTGGTGATCACATTGAGCGTGTTGGGCACACCTGCGGAACACCCACATCGCAACACGGCACGATCCATCAGACAACACCGAGCAACACACGAACGCACGCCACGCGCATTCACGAGAAAACACATGCAAACACAAAGGCAACAAGAACGAAAGAAAGGGAAGCAAAATCCCGTCCCCCGCACCGAGAAAATTACGCATGTCGGCGTAGGCGTGATGCTTGGGAGAGTAAGGGATCTTGGGAGTCGCCAACATGAGGAAGGCCCAGCAGAGGAACGCTCCTGCCCAGACGCGGCCCCGCCTTGATCTCGCGATCTGTTGCTTCGCCACCCACATCGCTCATCTCAGTTTCGCCGCCGCTGGGAGATCTTCTCTGCGGGAAAAGAAAGGGAAACGGCAACGGAGAAGGGGGAAATGCATTAACAATTTTGGTTTCTTGACTGCTCAGATTCGAATGTCGCGACCCGCAAAAGTTAGAATCTTTTTTGTGTTTTGTTTTTAGTATGAATTCTTTCGATTCGACGATGTTGTTGACGTTCTCGTTCTGTTGTTTGACGGGGAGGAGGAGGATGTTCTGCTACAGCTCCACGTGTCGCGCGCTGTTCCTTTGCTCACAGCCTCTGGTGGCCGTTCGATCTGGTCTGAGTAGGGATCATCGTTTCCGGCCTTGTCAGGTCCCACCCAAGAACCGAGAATCGGACCATCCGATCCCAAAGCCGGTACGGTCTGTTCCCGGGTGGTCCAACGGAACCAATGAATTCACAATAATTTCGGTTCTTCAAAGGTGTTAAACACGTAAAATTCTTGTATGTTTAAATGATACAATATCAAACGCTATCGTCGTTTGAAAATATTCTTCTTCCAGTCATTTTCGAAAATATTTTCTCAAACATAATTTTCTGTTCGCGATCAATAGAAAAGTTTGAAAATATTTTCACCGGCGACGGGACATCCACTAAAAGGATGGTAATGGTGAGTAATTTTGCCTTCAATTAGGAGGAAAATGATTTCCTCTGGAAATTATTTTCCTCAAAACAATAAAAGATTTGGGGGTGGGGTTCCGCCCCCAAACACCGGAAAAAGAAAAAATATTTTGCGAAAAAATATTTTTTCGCAAACGAACACAGCCTTAAAAGGAATAATGGTTGAACTCCATTTTTTTAACAAACGCGTGTTTAAATGTTATTCAGGAATATCATCGAACATGTAATGCGGACTCGGCCATGGAGACAAAGCCGGCAAAAAGGAATCGAGCCAGAGCAGAACTCTACACACACTTTAAACAAAAAATAGAGCAAGACAAACTAGTTTCTGTGCGACTCCGGATCGGTGAATGACAGCGGCTGGAGGTGGCTATGGCGGCTTGAAATCGATGAAAGGAACGCGCAAACAAGAGAAATTGGTGAGAGGATGTTAGTGCGTGTTCCCTTAGTGTCACTATGGGGAGCCGAAAGGGAAAGAGGAGGTGTGAGACATTGAGAGGTGAACAGGGAAAGAGCCGATTGTTAGATTTACATTTTACACACTACTATTCTTTAAGAAATAAAAAAAAAAAATCGATCCGGTCCGAGTGGTCTAATTCCCACCTTAGAATGAAATCGAGAATCGAATAAGCGCTCTTGGGAACCATTCAGAGCTGGTCGGTCCGGTCCAGGTGATTCCTATTGCACATCCCTACTAACTAGACCTAATCATGACCTGATGGCGGGCAGGCTGCCTAGCCCCACCCGTCCCACAACAATTCGTGATAAATCTGGATGAAGTTCGGGCGACAGCATTTAGAATAGCATTCGGGAATGCTTTATAAAGCAGTATTGACATTCTAAAGTCCCCTTGTTGAAAATGGCATTTTGGTTGAAGGAAATTTGCTCACTCCGAGTTGAAATTTCGCCTTTACAAAGCCTAATGCCTTCTCTCCGCTTTGGCTTTTGGAGCATTTTCGAAAAGCAAATAGATGATTTTTCGTAATAGCGTGGGTATTTTTTTTTTAATGGACGGGACCTAGGCAATAAATTAAGGTCGGTCCAAGATTCCACCCTCTCATGGACCCACCCCACTAACCACCACTTCTTTAAACACGAATATGAGGTACACATTTTTACCTCTTCGCGATCGTCATATACGTAGGAAAGAAAAGTTTCCACCAAAAGAATTCGAAACGATATATTTTGTGTTTTGTGTGATTACTATTCACGTCATTCGGGTTCGTGTCGCGGACTACAATTGGCCCGCATGAAATCGGAACCGTCAACGATCACCATCAGTCGAGCGGCGGCGGCGAAATCCATTTTCCGAGCAGGAGTAGCTCGGATGGATACGTCCAAGGGAGAACCCTAGACTATAGAGAGGAAGCAAAACGGACCGATTAACATGTGTTGTTAATGCCTTCCAATTTGAAAAAACAGGGACCGTCAAATGTCGCTCGCTTTGCTGCCCAGTTCTAACGTAGCAAGACAAAAGATGGGATCCGCGACGGTCGAGTCGAGGCGCTATCTTCGGCCAAATTTGGTCAAGCAATCATGAACGGTGGGACGCGCGATGGTTGGGTTGGAAGCCAGAACATCAAAACTATTCACGTGATGGTGATACTGCCATTAATCAAAGCCAATTCAAATAAATTTCTGCCGTACAATTTGATTAAGAGTTTCGGGAGTTGCACGATCGCAATTACGAATTCAGTTTTAAATTTATTATACGGATGTCAATTTAATCTTAAATTTTTAAATTTATTAATTTAGCCATAAATTTTTGCGTGAAATTCTTATATAATCATTCTGATCAATTTTAGCCGGAAATCGCTAACATGACAATTCAATTATCGCCGGCCGATCTACGTGACACACCGCCGTGCTATCGATTTCTGGTGAAAATTGACTGGGATGATTAGATTGAAATTTCGCATGAATCTTTATGATTATGAAAAGTTTAGAGTTGAATTAGTATCCGCATATTAAGCGTAGAACCGATAATATTATTTCCTCTCAACCAAATATATGTGGCCACAAGTTTGATGCATGAGAGCGACATAAAAGATGAAATTGGCAGATTTTTCGGCTCTGTCGTTTTTCTCTTTTTCTTTTTCTGGGTAAATGGAGGATGGGTATGATTGAGGAGGTGGGCCGGTGGATCCGATTTCGTACTGCAGGATCCGGCCACGCCCACAGAAATGAATGGAAAGATTTGAACCAGTGGAGCTCCTTGCAACTTGCAAGCTACCCAAATCCATTTTTTTTGTACCAATTACCCAATGCTAGGGGTTGAGTCTATATTGCGGTGAGCAAAATAAAAAAATAAAATAAAACATTTCTCGTGTTTAAAGCCGATGATCGAGGTCGACAAGTCTTAGATCGGATGACTGACAGGATTCACAATTCAACGATTCGAGTTCACAAGCTTTGATCGGTCGACGAGGTCGTCGGCGACTTTTCCTTGCACAAGATCACGGGGAGGGTAGATTCTAGATGACAAATTTTTAGGTATTTATCGGATGTCCCGTGTCACAACGTGAGATGATTTCTAAATGGAGTCCGGAACCCATTCTGATAATGAACTCGATGGCTCGGAATCTACTCGAACCAGTCTAGATTGGATTTCTTTTTTCGGATGAATAATTTGGGGTAACAAACGTATTGACAAAAAATAAAATTTATCTGAATAAGTTTTTTTGTACCGACTGTCAAAGGGCTCAATGCAACCATTCAGATAACTTGCGTTATTTTGAAAGGGTATGTGTTGTGGTTGCGCAATGTGGCATGATACGCGTGCTTACAAATAGTGACGGGGCACCACGCATCAATAATGTCGTGCAACATGGATGCTATTATCTACACGAAACAGTGGCATGGAAGATATTAAGACGCGGTTATCAATTTTTAGTAATCGATTTCAATCGAAACAAATTCACCATGATATCAGCATTTTAGACTATATTTGTTTCATGAAAATATTTTCTTGAAAATAATCGCTCGGGATAATTAGTCAATAAAAAAATATGCGATCGTTTTGACGAAAGTGTCTTTCAAAATTGTTTATTTACCGTGAAACAAGGTCCATTTGTTTCGCAAAAAACTCAAAGTTTTCGAAAGCATTCTCCTAAATACAGCCGCTTGTATCGTTTAAAAGATGTATTGAACGGAAAATATTTTCATTGTCCATGAAAAAATTTGGGCATAAATTATTGTCGATCATGAAATATTTTTTGTTGGCTAATTATTCCAAGTGATATAACCAATATTTTTAGAAATATATTTTCCAAATCGTTTATTTTCTGCGAAACAAACCGACCCTAAATCCCGTTCGCAACCTTTTTCAATATTAACCGGTCCGGGTGGGATACGCTGGTCGGGTCCAAACCTCCACGTGCTGCGCGTGGTCGAAACGGCTTCACTTTGTTTGATTTCCATTTGCTGATCTTTTGTAACTTTCGATAAATCCCATATTGAACGGGATTTAAGGTTGACGGAGACCGAAGGTTAGTAGGTTATACACATCGAGCCCACTGCTTGATGCTCCCATACACTGATTAAAAGAATCTGTGAGCATCTTGGTAGGTTTACACAGCTCCGACGGGTCCATGTTCGTATTCAATTCCGGTAATTCTAAAAGTACCCACAAAAAGCGGAGAAACCATGTGACACGTTAGGCGCACCAAGTTATTTCTTTTTAGGAAAAACGACAAAATTAATCATGAATTTTGGTCCTATTTATAATGTTGCCCATGAATTATTTAATTTATTTAATATAATCTTTAAATTTTGATTCAACATGCAAAACCGTCCTTAAATATTCTCTATAGTCTACAAACCAATTCATGGAACAAATTAAAATTTAGGGATCTCATTACACATTTAATCAAAATTTAAGATCATATTTACATAAATTAAAAATTTATGAACGACATTACAGTTCCGTGCGGAGCATGAACGCAATTAAAAACAAACATGCACACGAGAATGGAACTGGCTCAGGTTTTGAACCCAATCCACCATTGCCTTTCCAGCTCCCCTCCCAAAGCATCCAAAGAAGGAACAGCAGAGCCAGTTCACCAGTGGACGAATGACCCCACTTCTGAAAGACCCCCACTTCTGCTTTTTCACCCGTCCTCCAAATCTAAAGCACAAATGATGCTAATAGTGGAATAATCAAACCAACCATATGATGATGATGATGATGATGATGATGATGAAGAAGAAGAAGAAGAAGCTGATATAAGGCAGGCGCTATTTACTTGTCCTTGAACGGAAAGTTCAACAACCACCATGATAATCAAACTTCAATCTACACCACCCACCACCACCCATGAAACAAGAAACAACCTAAGATACAGAATCACCAGGATCGTAGAATTGAAACCCCCCCTCAAAGGAAAGGTACACAGCCTTTTGCTCTTACTTGCCATTCCCTCTGCTGATCATCTCCTTGTACCTCATGAAGGAGTCCAGCCTCTGCAGCTTCAGCTGCTGCTTGAACCTGTTGATGAAATCGTCGGCCTTGGCATCGACCTCCTCGTCCACCTCGTGGCTCGCCTTGCCCTTCGCTTCCCTCGTCGTCGCCGGCCGGCGCGCCTCCACAATGTCGTCCTCTTCGAAATGCGCGAAAGCGGACTTGACGCTCGCGGATTTATATATTTTCGCCGGGAGCTTGGGCATTATCTCGCCTGATGCCGGTTGGGTGTCGGACTTGGTCCTCTCGACCTGATTCTCCTTCAGCTGACTGTACACATTATCAAGACTCTGTTCAACCTCTTCCTCTTCCTCTTCTTCTTCAACTTCTTCCAGTTCTTGCTCTTCTTGCTCTTCTGGTTCTTCATCTCCAGCTGGGTCAACTTGTTCTTCCTCCTCAGCTTGGGCTCTGTGTTGTTCTGGCTCATGCGGTTGCTCAGAGCTGAGATGGGTCGGTGAAAAGCTGGCTTCTTGGGACACGTACTTGTAGAGATTGAAGGACTTGAGCCTGTCCAGCATCGAAGGAGATCTGGTCAAGAAAGGCGTCTCCTTTTCGCTCTCCGCCTCTTGTTCTTGCCCAAGCTCGGGGCTTTGCTGCAAGAACCCATAATGGGTCTCCATTTCAGGGGATTTGCCAAAATGGGTGTTGGGTTCTTGGGATCTGTAGCTGTACAAGCTGATGGACTTGAGCCTCTGCAGCATTGATGGAGATCTGGCGAGTTGCTGGGGTCTTGGGCTCTCTTCGTAATGCTGCTGGTGTTGCTGCTGATGTTGTTGTTGTTGGTGCGGCTCCTGCTCTTCTTCCTTGGGCTTGTGGGAGCTGAGGCTCGAGGTGATGAAAATGGTACCAATCATGAGGTTGAGGAGCACGAAGAAGACGCTAGGCGTGAACCAGCTGTTCATGGTCGCCCAGATCGACGGCGCACTAGCCACTGATTCTTCAAGCATGGCTCCAGAGAGAGAGAGAGAGAGAGACACAGAGATGTTGAATTGAAGGTGAAGAGGTCAGTAGAGACTCTCCTTTCTCCTCTTTTGGGGTTTGAGTTATTTCAGCTATATTTCTCTTAGCTTGGGGGGTGGCTTTGACGTGCGACAGTGTGCGCAGGAACACGTGGAGGAGCGTAAGTGGGGGTTGTCTGGGAGAAGCGGACAAAAGAGAAACGGCGGGAGAAGCGGATGGAAAAAAGGTAGGGTGGTGGTGAACTGGTGATGGCGCTTTGGGTAAGGGGCGACGGAGACTACACCTTTGGGACCATTCGACAGTCTCGAGAACGATGAGCCTTGTACTGGGCCTGATAAAAAGCACTTGTTGACCAAAAAGAGTCAAGTAGTTCGTGGGCTCATTTGATCCAATTGGGCCGCACTCATTCGTTGAAGTTGGAACAGTGCGAAAGGGGGAAGAGCTGGGGAGTGATGGCGAAATTGGTCCTCGAATGCGCACTCGACGTTGAATTTGGTGAATCGAACCATTTGGTCCTTCTAGCTGACGTTGCGATCCAGCTTAATCACGCTGAACTCGCATTTGTCGATGAGATACGATCACCTCAACAAAATTAAAATGTAAAAAGAAGAAGAGACCAGAACAGGGAGGGAGCGAAGAGACAGCGTGAGTGGAGGGGTGGTTCTACCGGCGACTGTTGCTGCCGTCCGGGTGGCGCGGTCTAGGTGGAAGGGGTGCCACCCTTGCCGCCAGTGTGTACTGGCCGACCAACCCTCACGACCATCCCGCGAGGGTCGGCAAAACCTTATTGTCTGAGTAGGGATGAAGGTGGACAATCAGTGAAGTGGAAGACAAAAATTGATAGTTGTTCAGCGCGAAACCCTAGCGGGTTGTTATGCACCCGTGGAATGCAAGCAAGAACAAAAAAGAACAGATAAATTAGGAAAGACGTGGCTAAGAACGAAAGAGAATGGAGAAAATATTAAGTGGTTTGCAAGTGCCATCTCACCAGCTGGCGTGGCGTGCATTAATATGCAGTTAGCAAAATCTGTGAATACATGTATAGTGAAGTACTTTAAACTTTATGATAAATTATCGCCGTAAACTAAGGATAATCGGTTCCTGATCCGGTCCAATCCCACCCATGACTGGGAATTGGACCAGGAGGACTGGTTCTCGGGCAGTCCTACAGATCCAGTGGATTCACAATAATTCCCATTCTTCAAACGTGTTGAACACATTAAATTCCTATGTGTTTAAATGATACAAGACCATATACTAAAAGGAATGATTATTGAACTCCATTCTTTCAACAAACATGCGTTTAAATGTCATTCGGGAGTATCATCGAACATATAATGGGCGACTCAGCCATAGATCTTCGATGTAAATGTAAAACAACTAAACATTTTAGATCATAACAACCAGCAATAATACAATCTCGGATTATTAAAAAGGCTGTAGATGTAGTCGATTTTCACGTAAACGCCACCATAACGCTCGGCCTCCATTTTGCATGTAAAAGAGTAGAGACAAAGCACGAATGCTACCTTGGAAATGCAATTGAAGGCCACGAACAGCGACTTAATCGGTGATGGGAACTTTATAACAGTATCAATCAGCTGGAATCGGAGTCGGCGAAAAAGGAATCGAGTCGAAGTAGAACTCTTCGCACACTTTCAGCAAAAAATAGAGCAAGACAGAGTAGTTTCTGTGCGACTCCGAATCGGTGAATGGCGATGGCCGGTGGAGGCTACGACGACTTGAAATCGATGAAACGAATGTGCAAACAAGATAGACCAGTGAGAGGATGTTTATGTGTTCCTTTAGTGTGACAGTGAGGAGCCGAGAGGGCAAGAGAGGAAAAGAGGAGGCGTGAGACACTAAGAGGCAAATAGAGAAAGAGATGATTGTTAGATTTACACTTTACAAACTGCTGTTCTTTAAGAAATAAAATGAAAATTCGGTCTAGTTTGAGCGGTTCGGTTCCCACCCCAAAATCGGGAACCGGACCACCCGTCATCGATACCAATTTTATGGAATCGGGAACCGGAACCGACGCCCCTAGGAACCGCCTAAAATCGGCTGATTCGATCTGGTCCAAGCGATTCCCAGTTCAGGTGGTTCCTATTGCACACTCCTACTGCAGACTGAGAAGGAGGAGGAGCATATGTCCCTTGTTGTTTATTTTAGGGCAATTGGTAGTATTATGTATGCCATGGTATATACTAGGCATGATATTTCACAAGTTATGAGCATAGTTAGCTTTTATATGAAGCGTCTTGGTAAAACTCATTGGGAAGCTGTGAAGTGGATCCTCATATATTTAAAGGGGACAATAGTTGTTGGTCTAGTGTTTACGAGGGACGACAATCGTAGTGAGACCATAGGTTTTGTGGATTCAGATCTTGGACGAGTGTAGGTTTTTGGTAGGGTACTTGTTTACGCTGGCAAGTGGTGCTAAGCAGAGAACTCCACCACAGGTATGATGACTAAGCTTGTTTCTTGGGCGGAGCTTAAGCTTCAATTGATGTCTGTAAAGAGCGACCGCCCGTCGTGACATTGGGTAAGCCGGCATAGATGATGAGTACTATGACTTGACTTTAAATGTTGAGCCAATGTGTAAAATTGTCAAATCATAAATCGAGTTTGAGGCGAGTATGAGATTCCGGTTCGATTGAAGGATGTAGATTGATTATTAAACCGAATCTATCAGGAAAGAAATCTCACTTTCCTATTTGAACGAGAAAATTTATCTTGAAGGGAATATTAACATGATATGTGTACAAAGACGTGTTTTTTTGGGTTTAGGGGAAGTCTCTGTTTGTCGGTTAAGAAAGTCTAAATCTTTTTATACAAGGTTTGACCATGTGAGAGTAGACCTCTTCAAAGACGTATAGTAAATGGACATCTCCTGGCCGCATACATTTTGGGCCGCACATGGAACCCGCAAGAAGGGGAAAACCAAAAGATGAAACGTACGGGATGTTTCTAGAAGAAACCGTGTGGAGAGTACTCTTGAGACGCACAGGAGCACTTGAACACACGGTAATTTGTGCCGTGAATTTTATGTCCAATTAAGTTATTTATTTGTAAATATTATGAATTTAGGCTTAATATAAGTGTGAGAAGCGCTCCAACTCGAGCGTGTGAGTGATTGTAATTCTGATTTTCCGATCATTAGCGAATTATTTGTTACTAGCTCTTCTTGTAAAATAGGTATCAATACAAGGATTGAACCATATAAATTTCTAGTGTCTTTATTGTTCCTCGTTTATTTTCTCTAACGATTCCATGAGCATGACGACCTTGCACTCGAACTCAACACGTTGCAAGTTCCTCGTCCGATCCGATGGCCCGCCTTAAGGAGTACTTGCCCTGCAGGTTGCAGGCGAGATAGTTTGCTTGCACTTCATCGACTAAACCTTCTTGTACGGCACATCATGTGCCTATTCCCTCTTTGAAGGCAGAACCGGCATCCGGTTGGGGCTTGGGCGCCGCGAGACCCGGGGCCGTCTCGTGGGTCATCAACCACCTCGTCCGGCGGAGACTTATTGCGATTTGCATGGATTGATGGGATTTGTTAAGCTGAATTGCTCAAGGTATTCAAGGTTATTACAAAGCAAAAGGAGATGACCATGGAAAAAGGGCGTGTCGGGTGTGAGTCATTTTGCAGCCCCAGATAAACACGAACGGCTTGGAAAAGCTTGGTAGAACGAGAGAAGCACCTGTTTATTTTTTTTCTTATTGTTTTGGGATGAATGGGTGAGTGTTCGAGGGAAGTACATAAGAGAATTGCTCGGTCGGACACACATGATTCGCCCTTTGAGACAGCTCGGCTTGGGTAGACGTCACGGGTCGTTAGACTCGGGATCTGATCACCTCCGGTGTAAAAGTCAAATCCCGCATTTCCCATAATATTTGATCGAAAGTCGTATCGATATCTAATAATGGACTAGAACCACACACGAGACTCGATGAAGTGTGAATTGACTCAAGAAGTAAATCATCTCAACTCATAGAATCTAGACATCTTTCGTAAGGACTTGAATTTAAAAAAAAAAACAATGGATTAGAACTATACATAAAACCCTGGATTTAAAAGCGCAGGATGTTTATTTATTCAGAAATGAAAGGGGCAATTGGCTAGGAGGTTTTTGTCTCTTTCGTTGGAACACGTTCGTCATATGAATCAGAACTCTTGACACTATGATTGGGACTTAACTTTGCCAAGCAACACGGTTTTCATAAGATCATCATTGAGATGGACTCGAAAGTGATAACTGAACTTGTCAATCAAAAAGACGGTAATGCCCCATTTTACTAAAAGATATCGGAACATCCTGGAGTTATTATTTTCAATTTAAAGCGCTTCGGGAGAGGAAATAGTCTTGCCGATTAGCTTGCCAATCTTGGAATAAATAAGAACCCCCCGCGTTCTATTCACGGCCACTTCCTAACGTACTTACTAACGTACTTTGTTAGGTGGCAAAATTGGGGCGTTTGATTTCTAGAGATTCATCTGCATTTCAGTTCCTTACCAAAAAGAAAATTCCAGATACGAATGCCAAAAAAGATTTCCTTGCGAAAAGCATTGGAGGATCAATTGCCAAATCCCCGCTATGGAAAAAAGGCAACCCCGGAGGGGGGGGGGGGGGTGGGCCCACACTACGCCTTTGGCTGACGTGGCGCAATTACTCCGTTTAACTTTTATCATTTACCCACGAGCCGACGAACAACAACATGCCGCAGCACCAAAAAAAAGAAAAAAAAACACGAAAGGAGAAGAAAAAGGAGAAAAAAAATGGAAAAAAGGTAATAAAAATAGGAAAAAGCGCAGAAGAACACACCCCCCGCCCAAAAGAGACTTTTCGGACCGAATGACATTAACATGTACGAAAAGTGTCGACATCGGCCCTCTGTCTGTCCTCCCCAGAAGCGCACGCTCCCCTCCTCCCTTCCCCCTCCGTGGCCCTCACGCCTCGGCAACTATGTCGACACACTCCCCCCATCGCCGTCTCCCCCCCCCCCCCCACCCAGTTCCGTCGCGTCTTTCCTTACGTATATAAGCTCCTCTCCCCCATGCTCCTCCTCCTCCTCCTTCCCCCTGTCATCGCGGCGCCGGCACCGGGCTCTCCTCCCGCTTGCGCATCGATCGCGTCCCGCGGCGATCGATACCCGGCTCGGGTGAAGCCGCCCGGGAACGCGTCTTCCGGTCCATGCTTTCCTTCGAGGTATGTATGGGGTGGGGGGAACCTAGTTCTGTTTCCTGGGTACGTGCGCGCGCGTGTGTAATGCGCAATTCGTGGTTCGTGTGTTCTGGGTGTCGTTTGACTGAATTCAATTCGGCCCCCTTTTGTCAGGAACTCTCGGAGATGCTGTTCCTCGATCGTCCGATGTCGAAGCCTAGGGCTTATACAGGTGAATTTCGGGATTTTGAGGCTGTTTAGTTGGGAAATTCGCGAGCTTTTATTGCCGTGCCCTGTCTTTTTAGCTTTTGTTGGGTGTGTGTATATGTTGATTGGGCCGAGTGCTCTCATTGGACTGGAGTTGGTTGCCCCAAAGGCAGTTCTTTTATGAATACCCGTGACTGAATTTGTTCGTCTGACTGGATTTTTGCATCTTGTGAGATGTAAAAACACGCTGGAAACTCGAATATGATTTGTAAATCGGTATTGCCTCTAGTATACAATCTAGGGGACTGAAATTGTTTGCTTTGGTTTCAAAACAGATTTCCTTTTCCATTCTCTAGCTCCTTTCAAGTTTAACGCCAGCTGCCAGTCGATAGAATTAGAGTCTTGCCGCGATGATTCGGTTGCCTTCACGCTCAAATTCGTCGCCATGGCATCGATTCTAGTGGCTGGCGTTTGTGGAATTGCGATTCCGCTGGTCGGGAAGCGCAGGAAGTTTCTCCGCACCGATGGGAGCATTTTTGTGGCAGCCAAGGCCTTTGCTGCTGGTGTAATTCTTGCCACGGGATTCGTCCACATGCTGTCGGGTGGAACATCAGCACTCTCAGATCCGTGCTTGCCTGAATACCCTTGGTCGAAATTCCCATTTGCTGGGTTCTTTGCCATGATGGCCTCCTTAGCAACCCTTCTTGTCGATTTTGTGGGGACTCAGTATTATGAGAGAAAGCAGGTACTTTTCTTGCGTTTCATTTGTAAGTTTGTCTTGTTCAGATCAATTTCAGACAAGTATCGGTGATCATTTAACAGATATAAATTTCTGATTCGTGGATATGTCAATTTCTTATATTTAGACGAAGGAAGAAAGAAGCATTAGTTATTCATTCTCGTTAATAAGAAGAAATCATAGGTTGACTCATAAGGTAACAATCTGAGTACGTCATCAACGTGTCTGTGTTGTTTCAGTGGGTCTTCGTGCTCTTGATTGCTTAGAATTGCGTTCATGGCTCATCGATAGTATCTGACATCCTTCTTTGAACAATGTAAAAACAGGGTTTGACTCAAACAAGTGAGGAACAAGGTCGAGTTGGATCTGTGGATACAAGTCTCGAGTCAGGTCTACTTGCAGTTGAGGGGAAGGTATTTGGAGAAGAAGAAGGCGGTGGAATGCACATCGTGGGAATGCATGCGCATGCAGCTCACCACAGACATAACCATTCTCAGGGACAGGGCGCATGTGATGGGAACCTGACGGAACCCTTACACTCTCATGATCATGGTCATGGGCACGGGCACTCACATGGACTGGGGGATGGAGAAGGGGATGGTCATGCCCGGCATGTCGTCGTTTCTCAGGTAAATCTCTTATGTTCCATGTGTTGTTTGGATGGAGGGTTTGGCTTTAGCATTTGTTGATGGTTGTTTTAGAGCTCATTATTGCTGGTCTACGGGTGTCTCGGAGCTTTCCTTGCTAGATCATAATGTGGTATGTTTGGAATATTTCACGAGTTTCATGTTTTTCTCCTGTCTCAAGTCATATTGAACTTTAGAATTAGCCCCTGACGAAAGATAATAAAAGATAAACAAATTGGGACAACACAGATTTTGTGCTTGATGTGATCCATAATGTTAGTGGGTAATTTGTCTGCCATTAATTTTCTTGAGAAACCGGAATGATTAATTAGGGCTGTTTAATTTGGCAGCTTTTGGCCATCCTGTTTAGGTCAAACTCTGTGGTTTTGTTATCATGTGAAGGTAATTTTGGTATTGGCGAATTAGACATGATGGTGGTGGTTTTGGATGAAGGGTTGAACTTGCAGTCCTTCAATTTTAGGCAAAAAAGGAGTAACATATTCAATCATTCGGTATGTCCCACATAATGCAATGAATTGTGGGGTAGGTGACTTGGGTGGCTCTTTTTGCTCCTATTAGCTAGGAGTTGTTGAATTTCAAGAAGCCTTTGTACTAATGACCAAACAGGCTTGAATTGTGACTTGTGAGCTTGACTGATTGGAGATTACAGAGTTGATTTGCCACAATTAAACTGTACTCTCCACCGAACTACTTTGCAATTGTTGAAAACTTAGCATTTAGATCGAGCATCAAAGTTAATAGATAATCAAATGGAAGTAGACTTGACTTGTAAACATGGCGATTGGACAGGGTATTATTGGAAGAGAAGTGAATGATCACGTCAGATACTCTCTGCAAATGTCACGATAGACGTTGTTTTATGCTTTTACAAGTTTACATATCATCTCCAGATGACTAATTTATGCTATTTTTGGTATTATCCCTCCAGCCTTCGCCCAGAAAAAAATATTAACGGTGCGCTTAATTCTTTTTGAATTTCCCCGCCTCTGTTCTGTAGGTTTTGGAGCTTGGAATAGTGTCACACTCAGTAATTATCGGTATATCCCTCGGTGTTTCGCAGAGCCCATGTACTATAAGACCACTGATAGCGGCACTTTCTTTTCATCAGTTCTTTGAAGGATTTGCACTCGGAGGTTGCATTTCCCAAGCCCAATTTAAAACTCTCCCGGCCACTATTATGGCCTGTTTCTTTGCCATAACAACTCCTGCAGGGATCGCTGCGGGAACCGCGATCGCTTCATCCTACAATCCCTACAGCGTCGGAGCGCTGATCACCGAAGGTATATTGGACTGCATGTCAGCCGGCATCTTGGTGTACATGGCCTTGGTCGACCTGATTGCTGCCGACTTTTTGAGTAAAAGGATGAGCTGCAACTTTAGACTTCAAGTAGTGTCTTATTTAATGCTCTTTCTTGGTGCGGGATTGATGTCTTTACTTGCCATCTGGGCTTGATTTCATTAAGATTACTGCTAATTATTTTTTGCCCTCATTTTCTCTTCTTTCTTCACTTCCTCCCGTCTTCCCCTCTCTCTGCAAAGTTGGTCCTTATGTGTTTCAAATTGTTTTGAATTTGGAGAGAGTCGATGAGAAGGTAAGCGTGCCATTTGTCCTGGTGGAAACACTGACTCATCGAGTTCAGCAATTCTATGCTCTATGAACCCATACATTATCTCCACCAAGAACTCGTGAAGATGACAATTTGGGGGTAGGAATCTAGGGTCCTAGCAGATGATGCAAAATTTAGAATCGCATTGGATTTTGCAACTAAGGAAATGGGAAAAGAAAGCAAAAATGAAAACCAAAAAGTGTCGGTCGTGAGCCTTTTCTTGAATCTGAACGTAAATCATCATGTCGCCCAGGCCCTTCGTTGTTCCTCACAGATGCTACTCAAGAAATACTTCTACTGAACTTATCAAGAGCAAGACAAATTCACTTGACCATGTTGAGACAAGAGAGTATGATCCATGCTTCTACGTCGGGTGAATCCTTCCTGCGGGTGTGAATTCTCGTTATGATGCAGAAAACGGACTTTAACTGTCATTTGCTTCTTATGCTGACTCTAAAGTAAATATCATGAAGAGTGTGCTCGTTGAGAATGCTCGGCGAGTACTTAATGGAAGAAGAATGCTTCGCAAGTAGGATTCATCTTTAATTACGTTGTCTTGACCCATCCTCTTCGTGCTGAATGAACTGATCTGAGCTGCAAATCCTCCAGTGCAATTTCGTACTGTGCCATGCTATTAGGTTCGAGAAGTTCTATAGATAAGGACTTCCATGTATGACAGCGAAAAGAAAAGCAAAGTCCCCAAGCAGCCATGGTACGAGACACTGTGTTCTCGATCTTGGCATTAACCGGAGGCATTCTTTCGTTTCTCGCCAATGTAATGGAATTTGACCCCCTTTTGGACGCTATCTCGAAGAAAGAGCTTTACATTCTTGGTCTTCCTCTGCTTTCTCCTCCTCAATGCCAAAATATCGATCATCCTGTGCTATGTCCAGCTACGGTGCAAAGATCACCGGTGGTGGTGGAGTTCGTTCCTGAAAGCGGGCTCTTCCGCGCTATAGTAATTCTGCTACTCCGTATACTACCTTTCACTCAGTTGGAGATCACAAAGCCGGTGCCCACCGTCCTCTGTTTCTTAATGAGCATTTAGATGTGTGTCTAAATCGGGGAAAATTGTCAATGACTAAAGAAATTGAAAGCTAGATGAAGACTCATCTAAACCAGAAGCAATTTTCCCAAAATTGTTTAAAAAGTCCTAAACCTATTATACTTTTGCCAATTTAGATGAGAGTCTTTATCTGGCTTTCAATTTCTTTAGTCATTGAGAATAAAATCACTTCAATGAACCTTGTACAGTAGAACGTAACTTAGACCTTACCAAAAAGAATGCGGATCACGAATATGTCCTATTTTCTGTCTGCTTGGCCTACCATGTCAACTTTATCGGTAGATTGAACTTGAACGGTCTTTTCTCTTTGACCTTGAAGTGCTGAGAGTCTAAGACCTGAAGGGCCTGACCCCGTTCTCAATTTGATTAACATTTTGGGCAACTATAGCGAAACGATGATGAGAAAGCAAGTCGCTGCATATGTTCAGGAGAACAGGACAGAGCCTAATGAGGCTATTACTACTTCGCATGCAGAACTTGCTTATCATGCAACCTTCAAGTTATCCCAGGTCTTGTTGGGGGAAGGATTGAGACGTTGATCCAGTGGAGAGAGAGGTAGATGTGATGTTAGCCCATGGCTCTAGAATAGAGTAACTTTTAGCAGCTGAAGCACAAGCATAACAGGTCCATCTGGTTTTGCAATTCATCAAGGAAAAGAAACAAGAAAGTCATCACTAAAACGCCGTACAAGAGACTGCTCTAACTTAAAAGTTGTCGCCTAAGTCATTAATAATTAGCTCATTTGATGTCTCCTATTTCATCCGCAGGAGTATGCTTCCATTGAACTACATTCAGCGGCAATTCACCGAAAATTTTTACGAAGGAAAATTTTGCTTGAGACAAGAAAGCCATGACAATGTAAGTTAGAGACAAGATAATAAAGACATTGAAACAAGCCAATTCTTTATTCCTTGTGTTGAGATCCCAGTCAGCCTCAGTTGCTCCGCCTAATCATTTGCATATAATTCCCAAGGAGCGAGAAACATTTGCATTCCCTACCATTTTCTCTCTTCTTTCATCTGTTTTAGCTCTAGGGAAATGAAGATCCACGGTCAGTTTGCCTCCTTCTACTTCGTCGTGGCCCTTCTTTTCTGTGTTCTATACTTGTTCTTCATAAGATCCTCTCCTAGTGAGTTCATGCCGGTAGGTTGTTTAAATTATATTTGGTGCTGTGCAATCGGACTGTGTTCTGTCCGATCAAAGATTTATACATCAGTATGGTGTATGACTGGATCCCCAGTTGGTACAAAGAATTGGTTGATGCATGCTTTCTATCTGTTGACTGCTAATCACCTCTACGTGAAGGTTTTACTAGGGAATCACCCAGTGAGCTGACCTTAGCAAAACCAATGCAATATGGTTCCAAAGTTTCTATCCCAATCATCGTAATCAATTTTACAATTTCCAATGACATGCGAGTCATGAGAAAGATTTTATAAAAGGTCAACAATGTTAAAAGCGCAAATAAGAAAGCGCTTGTTTCTCGTTTTCTTTCCAAGTAGTAGCCATGGATACGATAAACACTAGGCATCTTTTCCTGTTACTCAGCAATCACCCAAGCTGAATGACATTCAGAAAATGAAAATCCGTACATAGTGGATATAACATGTATCTACTATTCATCTTGCTCCACTCCTCCTCAGTTCGTCCTCCGCCTAGGGAATACAAAAAAAGAGAGAATAAATCAAGTTCCATTCAAAGAATCAAGCGAGATGATGAAATTACTCACCCGCTGGCCTCCTAGATCGCCAAAACTGAAGGAGAACCCGAGTTTCCACGGATTTTGGTTACAGGTCATTCTGGAGGGCTTGACGGATTTCACGAGCACCACCAAGATCACAACTAATGCTAAGCACGCTAGAATGAATCGGTGCTAGTTTCGGGACTTTGGTAGCACAACTCGTGCACAACTGGTGCGGGATTCGTGCACAACTCGTGCGGGCTTCGTGCACAACTTGTGCAGGTTGGCTTCTTATAGGGTTCCATTGAAAGCTGCTGTGCGTGGCGTCTTTCACCGTTGCACACACTCAGATTACACCAATATTAACTTGAGTTGACGCATGAGAGAGACGAAGTGACAGGAAGGATTATCCCTTACTTCTCCTAATGCGAAGAGAGTTTAGTATCAGTGCCTCGGCTTAAACAGGAACGAGAATCTGAACTCAGTTTGCAGTTCTGTACCAGATCAATACATGGCGGACCAACAACTTTGGTTTAGGAAAGTGACGTGAAAAAAAAGGAAAAAATCACTCTAGTGAACATAGTAATGATATTCAGAAAATCAATAATCAACCTTGCAATTGAATCACAAGATTACAATCACAAAATTCAAATATTCTTCATCTTTGCTTCACTCCTCCTCAGTTCGTGTCACCATCCGCCCGGCCTAGGGAATAAAAAAAAGAAAAAAGAGAGATTAATTTAATATCCGAATCAAGAGTCAAGAGAGACGATGATATTACCGGCTGGCCACCAAAACTGAAGTTAGATTACAGGTATATCGGGAGGGCTTCAGGATTTTCACCAGGACTACCGCGATCACAACTATCGCCAGGCACCCCAAAAGCAGCAGTCCGAACTTAACCAGCAATGGCGACTTTAGAAACTCTGTCATGGGATTCATCTTGAAACAGGGTAAGGGGAGAGAGAGGAGATGTTGGTTCGACGACCCCTGCTTCTTCTTAAATATAGCTTGATGCCGTGACACCATGCGGAAACGGAATTTCCGCATATATTGTCTTTGAAATTGAAGCCATCGCCTGAGAGTTCAGGGTTCCACCTGACATCAACTCGTATAGGGATAGGGATGAATTGAATAGAGAATCGGGTCAAGTTGCTGCCGAGACGGACGAAGAATTACTAATCCTATAGGGGGAAAGCCCCAATCCAGTAACCTTTCTTCTTGAAAAAAAGACCTCCAGCTGCCGAAGGGCATGGATTGTTCCGACATGGTACTCTAGGAAGTAAGCCAAAGCAAACATTCCAATAAAGCAAAGCAGAGCCCTCTTTCTCACTTTAGGTAAGCTAAGTTTGGGCATTGGAACCTGCGCGTGTGCGAGCACATGCATGTCCAGGCCCTATATGGCAAATTGACTTGAAGCACGTCTGTTTCGAAGGGAAAAGACGCCGGAAAATAGAAAAAGACAGTGGAGAGAGACAGAGAAAGAGCATGATACAGAGAACGGGGATGGTAATTACGAGGACGTGATCCTTTGGAGAAAAGCTTTTCGAGAAAATATTGCATACACGGTCATGCTCTATCAGCGGTGCACGTCCATTCACCGGTGGAAACGTGGCGGCGGCCACGTGCGGCGGGAGACTAGGGCGAGCGATGAAAAAAGTTTTTATTTTTGAAGGTCCTGTGCCTGCGATTGATTTCGGTTCAGCTTCCAAAGATGGATGAAATTCAATTCCCATTTCGGTTTCCGTCTGTTCTTTCATGCCTTAGCTGCTTTTTCAGATGTTCCTTTTTCTGTGGCAGCTTATCCTCCGCTTGAATTGTTGTTCTGGCGGGTCGTTTGTGAAGTTTCTGAGCTCCTCCTTTTCTTGAAAGCTCAATTACTTTCTCCACGAGCTGATTTCAAGAGCTTGTGTGGATCGTGTGAAGGATTTTCTTTAGATTGATTGTTTAGTTCCGTGAATTGGAATCTTGACTGTGCTGTCTAGAACACCCCCATTTGTTGTGTGCTTTTGTTTCTTTATCCACTATCTGTTGGGCAATATATGCACAATCAAAAGGAGATTTACGTGCAACATACATATAATATATGTGCGAACAAGATAAACAAATGTATGGTTTGCCCTGGACAAGTATTCATGGTTTGCTCAAATGCTCGATCAAAGATGTCGTGCTTGAAAATTTCCAGAAATGCGTGTTCGTGAGTGAACTCCTCTTACTGTCACACGTTTTCTTGTTCATTTGCTATGCCTTCTTGTGATATTTGTGTTCATAAACATTGAATGACTGAAGTTTGAGAGATGATGGCCAACAGTCCTGGCAGGCGGTGGCTGCTAATGACGTTGGTGTTTTAATGACCGGTGGTGGCTGTTGACGATGGCCGTGCTTCGACGAGGGCCAAGAGTGGCCGGAAATGGAGGTTGGTTGATGTCGCTTGTCCACGGCTGGTTTGGAGAAGAAAAGGACAGCGTGAGGAGACGATCAGAAGTGATTAGAGTAGAAGGCATTTACCATGGACATTATATCAAGTGAATTTTTCTTTTATCCGTGCCATTGTCATTTCTCGAAAAAAAGGCTTTTTGGCCGGCCACCATTGCTCGAATGGTAAGACCACGAGTTCTTGCACGTAAACCAAATGTATACCACCACCAATAAACACCATATATAAAGTGATGCCGTTGCAGAATAAAGTTTATGCTCCTCAAATTACAAAACATAAAAGAAATTTTAGGTATAATTATTTTCATCCGTTCAATGTTGTTCTATCTAATTTGTAGAATATATGATGACATGAAAATCATGTTCAAGATTAAACTTTATACGGCGTAAAAATGAATTTCTCATCTAATCAATCATGCTAAACAAATCTCTAATTAATTCAAGCATATATTATATGTACCAGTAGTTGAGCTAATTATCTCGAAAGAAAGAAATCTACTAGAAAGTTACGTATTAATCTTTACTAGGTATTGCATGATTGTAGAGCAATATGAGGGAACGTCATATATCTAATGTGACATTAATTATCAGTGAGAAATGTGAGCATAATATATTAAATTTTTAAAAAAAATCGCATTTCCGTAGTGGGTTATGTAAGCATTTTGATTTACTTAGGTTTAGATAAAGGAAAGATGGCAACGAGGTAAAAAATGTCGAAATAGAAAAGTCCAAACGCAAGGGGACATAATTTAATTACAATGAAATTGAAGGGCATATTAAGAATCTGTTTGGCCGGAATTGCTCCCACGATGAAATATGTTTCACCATCGCATGCCAGTTGCAATGCATTCTGGCGGGCTTGAGCACTTTCACCGGGACCACCATGATCACCAACACGATCAGGACCGCTGCTAAGAACACAAAAAGCAGCAGAGCAATCCTCAGGAGGATCGGTTTTCTCAGAAACCAGTTAGCCGGAAAACGGAGAAGAGGGCAGGATGGCTTCTTATAGCTTTCTATTGAAAGCTGCTGTGCGTGGTGTCTTTCACCGTTGCACACTCAGATTACACTAATATCAACTGGCAGTGTTTATCGTATCAATAGCTACTACTTCGAAAGAATACGAGAAACAAACGCTTTCTTCTTTGCGCTTTTAACGTTGTTAACCTTCTATATTCATGCAATGTCCGTGCAATGTCAAGATATATCAAATAGAGAGATCTATGTGCAATATCTGTGCAATGTCCGTGCAACATACGTACAATGTACATGCAACATCCGTGCAATATACGTGCAATGTACATGCAAAATCCGTGCAACATACGTGCAATGTGCATGCAACATCCGTGCAACATAATTTGCCACGAAGTGTATTCGTCGGAAAATTCGTCGCTAATTTGCCTCGAAAAAATAAAAAAAAGTATTCTATTTTTTTATAAAAAAAAATTCGTGGCTAATTTGCCACGAAGTGTATTCGTCGCAAAATTAGCGACGAATTTTTTTCGTCGCTAATTCCGTCGCAAATTAGCCACGGAAAATTTTTTGTCGCAAATTCCGTCACAAATTAGGGACGAAAAATTTTCATCGCAAATTAGCCACGGAAAATATTTCGTCGCAAATTAGCCACGGAAAATATTTCGTCGCAAATTCCATCGCAAATTAGCGACGAATTTTCATCGCAAATTCCATCGCAAATTAGCGAAGAATTTTTTTGTCTCAAATTAGCGACGAATTTTTTTTTCGTCGAAATTGTCGAATTAGCGACGAATTTAGTTTTCGTCGCAAAAACAAATTTAGCGACGAATAATTTTTCGTCACTAATTTTCCGTGGCTAAATCCTTATTTTTTTGTAGTGATCCGACACGGTCATATCGACATATGATGGATACTAATAAAGGTATTTTGACTTGTATGACTGGGGCCGGTATAAGGGCTACTAAAGCAAATTCCTACAGTTTTTGGGAATCGCTCACTGTGGTCGGTCAACCCCTTTGAACCCTTTGCATCTCACTCTGATGCCCACCTTCACCTTCATGTCCTTCTGTATCTTCACGGGAACCCGACCCGCAAAACTGAAGGAGAACCCAAACCCCCACGGGTTTGGGTTGCAGTGCATCCTGGTGGGCTTCAGCACCTTCACCAGGACCACCACCACCAGGAGCACTGCTGCCAGGAGCACCACAACCAGCAGACCAACCCTCCGGGGTTTTCTCAGAAACCACTTTGCGGCATCTGTCACATTGCCCATCTTCAAAAAAAACACACGGCCGTTAAACTCCTTTAAAATTAAAAGTACAATTGGGAGAGTTATTCGGAGTTTAACGAGAGTTGGAGTCTAACGTGACACATAAAAGACATGAATAAGATTAAAGGTAAATAACAGAAAAATCAAATGCAACCTGTTTCCATAAATATTTATGCGTTTTCCAATTAAATTTTGAAATGTTCAATTCACAATATTTCATAGTAAGAGTCAAATTTCAAATGTAAATATCTAAAGCCAAGTTAAAAGCCACAGCCACATACACTAAACTATTCCTGCCACCTAGGTGGTTTGGCATCAAATTTACTGATGGGTTCTTTTGCCAAAAATCTGTAGATTAAAAACTCCAAAGTCCAAGGGATATAGCGAATATAATGCTCACTAATCCAACCAGATCCAACATGCTCCTAATGACCTCAGACTATTTATATGCTGTAGGAATATATGTGAAAAATGGAGCACTAGAAGGTTTTATTTTTCTTTCACAAAATGCTCCTTTATTGCCATTTAGCTACAATCATAGACACAGAAAGGGGAAAAAAAATAATCTAACCTCCAAATCTCGTTGGACCTTCCGGAGGTTCGTGCGCGTAAGTAAGATTGAAGAACTCCTTGGTCTGGTAATTGTAGAGGTGACCTGCAAGAGGATTACCATTCAGAGGGAATCATAAAGCTTCTACTTGACTTACTGGAACATCAAAGGCTGTCTTACTATCGCTATAATTTTTTGAACCCCAATGAATGCATGAAAACCTAAATTGGCAACATAATCTCCAGATCCAGTGGATGATAATCAGACAGTAGGGTAAGATAACATCAATAGATAATCAGGCGGTGTTTATCGTATCAATAGCTACTACTTCGAAAGAATACGAGAAACAAACGCTTTCTTCTTTGCGCTTTTAACGTTGTTAACCTTCTATATTCATGCAATGTCCGTGCAATGTCAAGATATATCAAATAGAGAGATCTATGTGCAAAATCCGTGCAACATAAGTGCAATGTACATGCAAAATCCGTGCAACATACGTGCAATGTACATGCAACATCCGTGCAACATACGTGCAATCTTGAGAAATACGAATGATCAATATAAATATCACTATGGTATGACTATGTGCATGTGTAAGTATATGTTTTCAATGTCATTGGGTTCTAATGTAGAGGTTCCGATGGTCCACCCATGTTCTGCGTTCTCGGCCTTCAGAGCCTGCACCTAATGAGAGCCAAAGTAGAAAGGTAGCAAAAGAAGATTATGCGTAGGTTACTTCTATAGTCATATTAGGAGCCCTTTACTCAGCTGAAGAGACTGATGATGTATTCCCTGATCATATTCTTATCTGAGATGTATAACTTAGAGCCCTTGATGAATCACATATTTGCTGGGCAACTTTAATCTCTATATAATAGCGTAATTTATTTCTTACAATAATTTTCCTGCATGGTGCTATGATTATATCTTTCTGTGTATTGCATGTCAATTTTCCTTTCGGTTTCTCACCTGACTAGCAGTGATTTTTCATGCAGGAACATTTGAAACAAAGTGATTTGTCATTTGTGTTCCGGTCACGGATAAACTTTTTTTCTCCAATATATGGCGCATTGCAAATATCTTTTCGGCCATCTCATGCTCCTTTGGGTTCTTTAAATTCTGTGGGTGGTGTCGCTACCCATATCAATGCAGTCAATTATGTCTCTCCTAGAAGTTGGTTAGCTACCTCTCATTTTGTTCTAGGATTCTTCCTATTCGTAGGTCATTTATGACACTAATATGAATCATGAATTCTCTGTTTACTTTGCCCATTCGTAAGTCATAGTTACTCAATTTGTACATGAATGGTCTCCTTAACATACAGAATATTCATAGTGCATTCAGTGAGAATCATATGGCCACTAATAATAGCTCATCAATGAAATCTTTAGTTGCAGAAGCTGTTTATCTGTCCCAGCAGATTGGTGTTGGTGCTTAAATCCTTTCCATGATTTCTACTTGTGTAGCCATTCTGGCAGTGCATCCGTGAGGCACGGTTGATAATTTGCTTTGAAGTTTGTCACATCCTGAAATTTACAATTACCTTCACTTGTTGCGGGAGTGGTCCCTTATATAATGTGAAAAGAACAGGCGAGCTTTTTTGGTAGCAGAATATGATGGGCAATCCTCTACAATCCAGTTAGGATGCCTTATACTTGCTGGGTTATTGTGTGATTTTCTGCTGGGGGAGGCTCTGCTGGGTTAAATGTTTTTTGGCTGACATCCTGAGTCTTTGACCGGCTTAATGTTGGGATTGAGGAACACTCAAGCTTTGCTTCGGGGTTCTAGCTTCTAGTTTGTGCTTTATTTGTTTATTTAGTAACCATTTGTTAGAGTTTGATATGTAGGGTCATCAACCTTCATAAGCCTACAATGAGATTTTTCAACATTGCATTCGCTCTGAAATTAGCTCCCACTGTTTCCATGGGCGATTGTCTTAGATAGCATCAATCTCTTGCCATCCCTTATTGCACTGCTCTTGTGTGAGAGAAAATCACTGAGCAGTTGGACTGGAGCTAAATAACAAGACAGTGGGAGAGGAAGGAACGCCAAGATGCTATGTGTAAGTTAGTAGAGGAGAAGGTGGATCTTATGCTAGTCGTTGGTGGGTGGAACTCAAGCAACACATCTCACCTACAAGAGATGGCTGAAGAACGTGGGATGCCCTCTTGTTGGGTTGACAGTGAGCAGAGAATAGGTCCTGGAAACAGAATAGCCTACAAATTGAGCGTAAGTCTGTACTTCGAAGTTGCACTCCTTCAGCAGATTTTAGTGTTTATGCCTTCTTTTACTGACTTTTGTGCTTTTTGTCGCGATAGCATGGAGAATTAGCGGAGAAAGAAAATTGGCTTCCAGAGAGTCCCATAGCAATTGGTGTAACATCAGGAGCTTCTACTGCGGATAAGGTAAGCTTCTAACCTGGTGAATTTCTATTGTGAGAACAGCTTTACTCCTTCATCAGCCCTTTCCTTTGGCTGCTTTCCCATTAACCTGGTGAATTTGGAAGTTATGTCACAGTTCTACGTTCGACCTCATGCTCCGTTTATGCTGTTGCTGCTTTCGGCTCACAGCCAAATCTTTAGGATCAATCAGCAAAATATTCTCCCTGGAGTATTGAATATGCCAGTGTATTTCATGCTAGACTTGAACGCAGCGACGGCGATCAGTGGCTTCAGAACTTTGTCATTCCTCATCCTGTTGTAGCCCCTCACATAAAGTGGACCTATTTTAACTTTTCTTTTCCTATTAAGCCTCAATATGTCTCAAGATCGAACCAACAAAGTGAATTTTACCAGCCCAATCACATTCCTAGATATTTATCGAAAATGAAATATTAGGGCTTCTGAATTTTCCATCCATTCTTATAAAAGCATTGCATTCTCATTGCCAGTGTCAAGCATGAGTACGAGGTATGGGATCATGAGCACACAAAATAAACCACATGCCAAGCAAACACCACAGAACAGCTCTTAGCCAAAGAAGTCCCGCTGGACCTTGACTCGACCACTGAGATCATGTTCACATACAATATCGTCTACGAGGTGAGCCTGAATGCTTAGTCTTAGCACACAGAAAACACAAGAATTGCATATCAGTATCTGAAGTAAGTTGTGTTGGCAGTGTGGCAGGGTTGAAAGTGGTACCCATTGGTACGACGACGAGCAACTATTCATTGATCCTCCATCTCCTCTGCTCTAGCGGCTCTCCTCCTCCTCTCTTGCATCATCGCGGGAATCTTCATAAGCTTCTTTTACAAAGAAGATGATGAATATGATCTGTTGAACTCCCAGCCTGAAGAGGACCTTCAGGGAGAAACCAGATGGGGAATTGTATTACAATACGTTTTTAGGCCGCCTTCAAATGTAACTTCACTGTGTGTTCACACAGCGGCGGGGGTCCAAGTGGTTGGGATGATGTTAATCGCTATAGTTGTGGTAATAGTTAGAAGAAACTTTGATTTCGAAGGAGAGCATGTAAGTTTGCCCATCAATCAACGAGGACTTGTGTCCATGATGATACTTTCCTGGGCCTTGATGGCACTAATCGCAGGCTACTCCTCAGCCAGTTTACAAAGAATCTTTGGAAAAACCGGATGGATTAAGAATGCTTTGCATGTAGGATTTGCCCTTCCGTGCATTTTCTTGACCACTTTCTTCTGTTTAAATGAATTGATCCAAGCTGAGCATTCTTCCGGTGCAATTTCACACCTTGCCATGTTAGTACTGATTCTCCTGGGGATGGGAATCTCTGTTCCATTGGTTGGCGTGGGAAGCTATCTGGGCTCCAAAGATTCTCTGATGGAAGATTCATCGTGGATGAACTAGACAGCCATCGAGGCGCCGAAGGGAGCGTGGTACAAGAAACCGAAGGAAGCGTGGTACAAGAAACCGGCCTTCTTAATTCTCATAGGAGGAATCAGTCCTTTGCAGTCACCGCGAAAGAACTTCGCCTTGTGTTGGTTGCTGTTTGGACAAGACAGCTTCACATTGCCTCAGATTCCTGCTTCATAGTACTCACTCTCTTCCTACTCCTCAGCGCCAACATGTTGATCGTGCTATGCTATTTCCAGCTGCGAAATAAGGATCACCGGTGGTGGGGAATTCATTCTTAAGTGCCGGCTCCTCCACGCTAGATGTCTTCCTGTACTCCATGGTCTACTTCTTTGTGCAGTTAAAGATGGCATAGCCAGTTCAGACCATCCTCTACTTCGGATACATGCTGATTGCCTCCTATGCAATCTTCGTTGTGACCAGCGCCGTTGGTTTTTATTCTTGCTTCTGGTCCGTAAGGAAGGTTCATTCCATACAGGATCGACAGGGCACATCAGGGAAGTTCACTTTTTCCATCTGGCACACTCTAATAACGTTAAAACATACGATGACCAACCTACTTACCAAGTGACGAATCAAATTTGAATGAAATCACAACAGTTGTTTGTTGGAATCCTGATATCAGTTTCTTCTGTTTGTTTAAAGAATTATGGTGAAGTTTGGTTGAAGTGCATATGGCACACCTTGAAAGAATCTAGTCCTTCCATTGTTGGAACTTACATTTTATAAGGTTTATTGAATTATTGAATACCTATGACTCTATATCATTTTCACCGGGCTATCATCGTCCAAAGTTTAAATCTGAATTCTTACTCACCTGTTCTTCCACTGCTATAACGAAACGCAGCGCCAGATCCAAGATAACAAGCTAGGATCTTTTCCCTCGCGAAATAGATAATCTTGACCCGATGAAGGATTATGTAACGAACCATATCGAGTTTTCTTTGGTGCTTCCTGTGGTCTTAATCAACGGGTCGAAGTCACGAAACCCAGATACCATGCCGGAAACTAAACATAATCTCCTCAAACTATGCCATTGACGAGAGAGAGATTGGTTCATATTGATATTATCATATGTTTACCAGTTCCTGGCATCCACAATTTCATATACTTTATGCTCCAAGATAATTTCTCAGCACTTGCCAATACCAATTAAAACCCAGTCTTTGTTTTATGATATGGTGTTTGGTGAGATGTGATTTATCAGCGACAACATGGTGTGCTTTCCTTTTCATTTGCTTAACCTTTTTTCTTTCTGAACTTTTAACCTCCTTTTCCCTTTTGAAAGTACTTTCATAAGTAGGTAAAATATTTTTCAAGTACTTCAGTTGTGGCTTATTATACCTACTTTTCCAAGAAATTTCACAGTTCTTTGTCTGGTTTGGCCAAGTTCTTCCAATGAATTTCGTTGCTTCTTAATATTCTACATAAGACATATATCTTCCTTTCCAAAGGAATTCAACTTATAGGTCAAAGTGCAGAATTTTCTCAGTGAATTCCAACATGCATATGCATCTCATTTGTAGGTAGACTCTGGTCCTTGATTCTCTTACCTGTCAGCATCAGTAGTAAGTAGAAAAGACTTGACCTTGTGCATGAGCAAGTGAACCCTGTTAGGTTCTAGTCATGATTAGGTAATTAGCGAGTTAATTAAATTCTGAATCTCGGAGTTTGGTTTTCGCTTGACCAAACTTCTCGGGACCAGGTATCGAGGCAGTCATTCGCGACGAATTCGTTGGTCCCGACGTCGGCTAGCTTCGGGTGAGCCCGGAAAAATGGGCATGGTTTGCAGGTGATCCAAAGTGAGGAAAATAATTGTAATTACAGCTAAGAGCAGGATGAATAAGGACTGTAAGTAATTTGAGAAACTTATATGAACCCTCTTGAATCTTTTGGTATCTGTGTCTGAATCAGTCCATGAATCAGAGTTGGTGACAGGGAGGTGACAGCGTGAATACAGTGATTTTATGGGGGACCACGTCGGATTTTCTTAGCAGATACCAAACATGTGAGGACCCAAACCAGATGTTGACAAAGACCAAGTCGCCAACACGCGAGCTTAAATCCAGGTCACTTCTATTTCTCTGTCCTATTTTTTAGATTTTCATCAGAAAAAAGTTTTTTTATCTGACAAAATATGTGGTCTTTGATCTTATAGAAGAGTTCCCAATTTTCATTAAAAATGAAAGCGAAAATAGTTTTTTGATTTTGTATTTACTCGAAAATTAATTCGACCAGTAAATATAAATCGCATCAAATTTCATGATCTTTCAATTTTATCGTGACCTCATGATCTTATCGGAAAAGTACTTAGCCTTTTAAGTTTGTTTCAAATCTACCCTCTGTCCTTCAACACTATTTGTCAGAGGGAATATTTCATTGGATTTCCTATCAAATTCCAATTTTACTCGTACGGTTAGTTTTTGTAATTTCCTTCCACTCTTTTTTTGATTTTATCTTTTAAATCGGAATATATCCGGCTTTATATAGATCATTTTTGTTTATCAGAGTTATTGTAAGATTATCTAAATGAATAGAATATTAAAAATTATCGCTTTTTCTTTCATAGAAATTTTGGCCTTTATGGGAACTTTGCAAAAACGTAATGCTGATAAGGGCAATATGGATACTGAAATATACTTTCTTATAATTTATGTTGATAATCTAAAAAATGTGGAGATAAAATTGAAAAGAGGAGAGGAGGTGACGACTTCTATTGTTATTATAGGGATTTATATCTCAATGGATCTATAGAAGAGGCTTATTTTCCAGAACTTTTTGCTAACAAAAAAAAAATCTTTTTAGTGTTTTGAAATCAGTTTCTCTTAATTTTTTTTAATGTTTCTAAATGCTGCCAAAAAAATTTCCGGACGGCAAAAAACAACAATTTATGTCTAAATATTTTTGTAGGCGATGAAAATATTTTTCGGTCATTCATTTCTATAAGTAATGCAATCGATCATTTTTAAGAAAATATATTTTTTTAAATTATTCATTTTTTACAAAAACAAATGGAGCCTAAATTAAATTTGTTCCCCAAACTGTGCTACATCCACAATCCAAGGCAATTGCCATGTCAATTTGAAGATGAATATCCCACATAGTAGATTCTATGAATTGATTCCACAGAGAATTTCTTTTTGGTTTCCCCCACTCATTGCATCCCTACAAAGAAACAAGCAAAACGAAGGTTGGTTTAACCTTATTAGGTTGATGAGTTGGAACATCACTATATTCTGTCCACCTCTAAAAGTTCACTTTTTTTTTTTGGTTACAATTCTCAATTAGATCAGAAATCACCCTTCTTTGGGAGAATCATTACTTGTCTTGAAATATAATCACTATATTTTTTAGGATCTAATGTGAGGAACATCTTCATTCCTTAAAAGAGATGAGCCCATTGTGAAAGAGAATCTGCCAACAAAGATTCACAGATTTCCCAACAAGGAAAACAGGGAAAGATCAGTCCTTCTTTGGGGATCCAGAAATTGGGAAGGAACTTCTGCTAACCATTTTGATCCATTAGAACTCAATCTTGTTCCCTTCAATTCCTTCCATTCGTTCGGTCGAGGCTTTGGATCTTTGTTCATGTCATTCAGGAAAAAAGAACAGTTAAAAAGCTGTCCTTTTCTTCCATTGGAGTGCAGCCACCAGCCACCAACCATTTCCACCAGATCTCGAAGTCACAAATTCTTGGTTTTTTTTTTATTCAAAGATACTGTTTCCCAGATACCCAGAAATATATGAATCCTCGTCCCTTTTGGGTTGTGAAAATAAACGACACTACGCCTCAACAACCCACCACCCCACTTACTCCAATGGAATGTCAAAAAAAACTGCAACTTGAAACCATTGTTGTTCTTCTTCTTCAACAGCAACATTAGCTTCTGCTAAATCTCCTTCCTTTTCCTTACCAAAACTCCTTCCCTTCTCTCTTTCTTTCGGTTTTGGGCGCTATGGAACGTGCAAGGCGTTTGGCGAACCGGGCGATCTTGAAACGGATCGTCTCGGAGTCGAAGCAACATCGCCACCATGAATCTGTGTTGGATTCTTCATCCCCTGCAATGTATGCCCCTTCAAGGTATGTATCTTCGCTGTCTGCATGTAGCTCAATGCACAAGAACTCGAGATCAGGGATGTTGCTGGGTAGAAATGTGTCGTATAATGTTGGTCATGGTATTGGGTCACAAATAAGAACGATCTCTCTCGAGGCATTGAAACCGAGTGATACTTTCGCTCGCCGACACAACTCAGCGACTCCGGAAGAGCAGGCGAAAATGGCCGAGTCCTGTGGGTTCGGTAGTCTTGATGCTCTGATCAATGCCACCGTGCCTAAATCGATCCGTATAGAATCCATGAGGTTCTCTAAGTTTGATGGAGGGTTGACAGAGAGCCAAATGATTGAGCACATGAAGAATCTGGCATCGAAAAACAAGGTCTTTAAGTCATTTATTGGTATGGGGTACCATAACACCTCTGTTCCACCGGTTATATTGAGGAACATCATGGAAAACCCAGGTTGGTATACTCAGTACACGCCCTACCAAGCTGAGATATCGCAGGGCCGTTTGGAGTCTCTGCTCAATTTCCAGACCATGATCACCGATCTCACCGGCCTGCCCATGTCAAATGCTTCCTTGCTCGATGAGGGAACCGCTGCCGCTGAGGCGATGGCAATGTGTAACAAT